GCAACCCTTGCTGTATTGTTGTTGTAAAACATGCTTTTAAGTTAAACCAAGATGAAAAGCTATGGCTAAAGCATTCAAAGAGTTGAACGAAATTCAAAAACCGAAAATGTATCTCCAAAAGAGACCTGAGGCACTGGAAAGGACCTATCTGTGATCCAGTTTTTGTACTATAAAACGAAACTAACAAGAGAAAAAACTTTGCATCAACAAGAGCATGAGTTGGAGAATTAACTGTCTCATGTCACTAAAACCAGTTCATGGCCATAGACAATAATCGATCGCTGAATGATATCACTAAAATACTAACTAATGATTCGCCAAAATTTAAAAAAGTAAGAATCAATATCCCTGTAACTGTTTAATTTAAAACACCAAAAACATGTTTAAGGACATTCCACAAAACAGTACCTACCATTTAGTATATGATTGCTTCGCTCACTGCCAGAAAACGAGAATGTAACTGATTTTTTTTCTGAATGGCTTGAAAATCGCCTTTCATGTTTTTGTATAGGTGGTAAATCACTTCGTTTAGAAAGACAAGTTGGAAGATCTACTAAAGTATCTGCTTTGCCTTGATGAAGACAAGAGCTGTTCCTAGTAAGACTCGCCTCTTCAATTAATGACCTCAAGTTGTCTTCATGATTATCCATCGAGTATCATTTAATTTTCCGTCATCACATCATCGGAGCAGAAATTAAACGAATTTTCAAAAATTCATCTATTTTCAAGGCCATAAGTGAGGTAAGTTTGCGCGAGTAAACGCAGTATAATGAAGTAACAAACGCCGGTTACCTGAAGACACCATATTAACATATGCTCTAAAGATAAGAACGAGGATTTTTAGTATGTGTGATTGGAATCAACTGTAACTAGGACACACACAATCAATGTGCATCTGGATAAATTACGCAAAGTACAAAGTGTGTTCAACGGATAATTTTCCAGTCCGTAAAATGAGGTTCGGAAAAGAAATTCTCTGATACTTAAAATCGCATCACTACGTAATTTGTCTTATTACTTTCGAAAAATGAACTAGGAATTAATACTGCCGAACGAAATTGTTTGGGTTTGACCAATTTCTCATGATTGTTAGTAATAGCGTTAGTAGAATAACACTGACATCTCTTGTGTAAAACGTCTTCCGTCCCTTCTGGTTCATTGGAATAAATATTGATTTACCAATGGTGTTGGCTGTTAAATGTTAGGCTGCAACAGAAGAAAACAGAACATGAACAAACATCTCACTGACAAGCTCAGTAACCTAAAACTTAGGGTTTATTGGCTGCTTAGGTCATATACGTATTTCACCAAACAGATCATCAGGTGTTAGACACTTTACATAAGGTTGTCAGGATCAGGAACAATTAACACAGACTGATCACTTGCACTCCACAGATTGGTGCATAGAATCGGCTTAACCATGTAAATCTCTAGCCTTCAATACAGTCAGATCAGCTTCAGTTTCAGTTTGAAAAGGACAGGGGGCTTGATGGCCTGTGTTAGTCCTGGCAATGGTGGTCCCCCAGTTGATCCAACTTTCTTTTGAAATAGTCGATGGATGGAACATCAACCATGTGTTGAGGTAATGAATTCCACTCGTTGATGATTCGATTGGAAAGTCAATAGTTGACTGACAAGTAATTTGTTTTGGGCTTGTAAACTTATTTTGGAGTGTCCTCGTAAATTCTCTATTTTGAAATACAAGATAAATGAGGGCATGTCAGGTGCAAATTTATCAACCGCATCAACTAGTTCCTGCTCGAAAGAATTATGTGACCATTAAGTTCGCAGACTTTCCCAGTTGACCATAGGTGCACTAAAGTCCCCTAAGATTAGACATCGACCACGTATTGAGACTGCTTAGCAGGACTTCGCTTACCTTACAGCTTGGACTGCGATAGACCAAACCAATCAGTACCTCTTGTCCTTTGCATTTTAAGCGGCAACTAACTAATTCACGCGTCCCACTCTCATGGGATACACTGCCGACAGTTGCAAATGGGATAGTATTCCTAAAAAATAGAACTGCATAGCCACCAATTTAGCCACTTGAAATTGATACATAAGGTCACACCGCTACTGTCCAAATCGAGCAGACTCCATATACGTCGCCCATACTAATGATTCACTCTGGTGTGAAGAACAGTCAAGGTTAATTGGCGAATAATTAACAGGGTCAGAGCGTAGCTTAGAAAGAGTAGATAAACTGGCGTACTCCGAGGCTAGAACGATTTTTATGGGCTTGACGTAGTACTAGACACTATAGAGCCCACCTGAAGAGAATGTCACACCCTAACCCTAACCCGTGTGAGCGGTCTAGAGTCTTATTGGTCCTGCTTCCCGCCTAACCCTGCCTGTTAAGTCCAGAACACAAATATCAACCTCTGCGTTATGAATCATTTATTTCAACACAGACTGGGTTTATATACAAACCAAACAGACCACATCGTGCCATAAAATATGAAACAACATTTGTACAGTACGTAGCCAAATGTGGCTGTGAATGAAGAAGGTAGTAATTAATAGACAGGGCATAATTCGAGAATGGTAAATCGTATAATAATAGTTCATGAGTCAAAATAATGCTCATAATAAGAGGAACATGGATATGAATACTTTAGTTAATTACAATAATACGTTAATAATAAACGTATAGTATTGGTCCATAAATGGATAAAAAAAGTTACCATTCATTGTACTTATCGGGACTTAACAGTTGAATTTCCTTTTACGTATTTATTGCATGAAAACATACTTGGTGAACGTTTACTCGATTTATTTCGGTTAAGGTTTGAAATTTTTCAAATCCACTTGTGCATTGCCATTTTTAGTTGATCTTTAAGATGGCCGGCTCTGATCATAATTGTGGACATTCATGTCGCTGATCCCTTATGGAGGAAGTACGGCAATGTGATGGGTGTAACAAGTAGCTCTATAAGGTGTGTATTCGCTTCAGTCCTACTGCATATGAAAATTGCTCAAAGACCCACTCCCATTGGCTTTGTGTGCTTTGCTGTTCTAGCAATACACTACTCATCCAAGAGGTAATTAACATTCTGGCGTTGGTTAGCAAAACGGTTGTTGAGGTCTATTCTTGTTACATGGGTACTGATGGCGAATAGTGTGTCAGTATTGTAAGTGCTGTTACGTCGCCTGCCAAACATCCCACTGTACAGCATGCAATAGGGGTTTCTATCTCGAAACAATTATTGAGTGAAGCACCACTGGATACCGGTGGTCAAGTTGATACAACAGCGACTGATTAGAAATGGATGACGTATTCTCCCATTACTGTCACACGAAAATTCAGAGTTGCCGGCTGAATCAGATTTGGGAAAAGATGAGACATTACCAAACAATTTCTGAGAAGTCTACCCCACGTGTATTGGTAAAAGTAATTGTCCTAATCACACCACTGAGATACTAGCCATAGGACCTGAACGCGTGACTGAAGAAACCGTTCTTCCATTGATCACCAACCTCAAGCCTTGTAAGATACCGGGCTGTGATGGGTTACATCCACGATTGCTGTCATCTGTCGTGGACATTATTTCAAGACCACGTGCGATGCTTTTCAACGTGTCCTTTTCCCACACTCAACTCCCTCCAGATTGTAAAGATGCTAGTCAGTCTTATTTTTAAAGATAGTCAGAGACAGATCATATCCAACTACCGACATGTCAGTCTAACCAGCATAGTCATTAAGTTACTTGAGAAGATAATTCGGGTCAAATTAATAAATCACATAGATTCACACAATCTGTTAACGCCCGAGCAATACGGGTGTCGAAACAAGCATTCATGCTTGACCAACTTATTGCGAGAGTTGATTAGACGGAAGCTGTAGATACCAGTCTGCCCATTAATGCCATATTCATATACTTCGGCAAAACATTTGACAAGGTTTTACACTTAGGTCTTGCGCAGAAGCTCTCGAGCTTCGGAATAACAGGTGCCGTGCAGGAATGGGTAGGAAACTTCTTATATGATCGCAGACTGACTGAGGGTAAATCGGACGCTATCTGGATGGGAGCCGGTCAAGGTGTTATGCCCCAGGGCACCATATTAGGCCTCCTACCTTTCCTTCTCTACGTTAATGAATTACCGCGATTGCTTAAGTCGTCGACATTATTGTTTGCGGATAATGTCTAAATCTAGAGGATAATGAGGGGTGAAACTGATCGTTCTGATCTCCAAGATGGAATAGACGAATTAGTCAGGTGGGCTCGATGTTGGGGATTAGAAATTAATTATAGGAAAAGCACGTTCATACACATCGGGCATGGTAACATTTACCAGTATACCATTGACGGTACGTCCCTTCCATGCATGCAGGAACATAAAGACTTAGGAGTAACAATAAGCCATGGCTTGAAAACAACTACACATTGCAACGTGTCAGTTGCCAAAGTGCTTCGCGCCTTACGGTCACTTCGCCGTGCATTCAAATGCTTTGGCGAGATGTTTCGAATTTTATATCCCACCTACGTATGTCCACACTTAGAGTACTGTATCCAAGCATCTGGCTCATGTATGACCAAGGATATCAACTCACTTGAGCATGTTCAGCGTGTGAGAACAAAATCAGTGAAGGGTCTTTTCAAAATTCTTTACTATGAGCAATTAAAACGCCTAAACCTTTTCCCCTTGTAATATCGTAGGTCGCGAGGTAACCTTATATTGGCATTTCGTATCTTTAATTACGATTTGGGTGTCAGTGTGTCTTATCTTTTTGCTCCCTCCAGTAACAACAATCTCCGAGGTCATAGCAGGAAGGTTCGCAAGCCGCCACCTAATAAACTAAAAGTGGGGTTCCGTTTTTCTCACCGAGCGGTCAATGATTGGAACGCCTTACCCGAACAAATGGTATCAGCCCCATCAGTGAACATTTTCAAGGAGAAGCTAAACTCTCACTGGAAAGCAAACTGTCAAGATTGACACAGGTCCATCGACCTGCTATCCTTATTACTGAAGACTGATTACTATATTTGACCTTGATAGTCATAACTATTTGGACGCGTTATTTCAACATGGCCAAACTAGAGATTATAAAACCAAGTGAACTGTATAACATTTTGAATCAGAAATTTACTCACGCTTTCATAAGTGATCCATGTTATTGTGCCCTGTTTGGTAATACTCCTACATATATTCATTTGATGTGTTTAAGACTCGCGAACTGCTGACGACTATAATAAGTCACATATTATAACAGCTAAGAATTTGAAAAGAGTATCTAGATGTTTTAACTAATTTGTTAGTTGAATGCTTGTTCTTTCAGAATACCGTATGAGGCAGAACTTGACTGCAGGTGGAATGTCATTGTTTACGATGGAAATACATCATCATTGGACTCTGAAGGTGTACCTATGACTTCTCTTATTTAAATCATTAAATCTTTCAGGGGATGCAGTGAGAGCTGCAAAGCTTTTGTATGATAACGGGAGCCGTCACTTAGTTAAAATACTGGAAGGTTTGTAAACGAAGTTTCCATAGTTTATGTTTTATATTTAGGAGGATTTGAGACATTTAGTCGTTTATATCCATACATGAGAAGTGACAAAATAATGTACTTACCACGAGTAAGACCCATTTCACAATTTCAAGACTGTTTGTCACCAATGTTTACCGTATTTTTGTTTCTACTGAAGATGCCACAGGTATTTGGAGTTTGACAACGCTTTAACCAGTGACGCCTAATGTGAATCGTACCCACCAAGTGAAATCAAAAGACAGAAGCCAGGAGGTTCGAAAATATATTCGATAGGCTATCAATATTTCGGATATATATTGGGTATCGAAAACTTACACAGCTATTTATTTTGGGATTAATTTACCGCTACACTACCATGTTGTGTCCCGATTATCTGACTTCAATTTGAATAAAAGAATCTGCCATAAATATAAATCTTTCAGTTAATTCCGTATATTACATCTGGGCTAACTCCGCTTGTGTGTTGACGGTAATAAGACGCTGAATGTAAATTAAGGTCGATAGACTTACTTTTTGGTGAAAAAAGTACATTAACTCAAAAATGACAATAAAGTTATTGCATCCAAAAGTTAATGTTATAATACATCAGTTACAATTTATAAACACAAAGAAAAGTAATGGGACGTTACCACAACTTCAAGCACTTATTTATACAGGCACTACTATGACAATAAGGAAAAATAAAGCAAAGCAGATAAGGCAAACGTGTCAACTCTCTTATGCTACTTACTACAAACGTTAATATAACTCAGAACAGACTATATTCAGTGTAACACACAGGTATTGAATAAAATCATGAATGACACAATGCGCATAGGCGTGGGATTATAAAGACATGAATATAAGACGTATATTTGCTGAAAATTACAATTTCCTGCGAAAAGAGTGGCGTCATTGTGAGGGTAAAAATAACTTGATTATCACATGCTGTCTGAGTTATTAAAGTCTGCAAGTGTGAAGTAGTAAAAGATACTAAACTACCAAAAACTGATGTTTTTATCTGGAAAGATAATATGGGACTTATGATTAAACGATTGAATTCAGGAAGTGCGACTTTACTAAATGATTAGTCTTAGTTGTTTAAACTGAAGTAAATCAAACGAGATACGAACACACGACCTGATGGTTTATCGTAGAGTGTTTTATTCACAAAGTCATTGTTCCAGTATAATCAGCCGGATAAATACAGCACCTTTAAATTTCGGACATCATTTTTATGTACCGTTAACGAAGGATGAAAACAAGCATTAGGTAAAGAAAATTTTTAAATCACATTAACTAAACAAAAAGATAGTAATTACTTAAGTGGAACTAATCCTTTTTAAGTTCAGGAAAGTATGGCAAAATTAGTACAAGTATTTACTTATAACAACGTGAAGTGGTAGTATGCTGGGGAGACGTTTTAACAGAAATTTACAGCATACTTTACATATCTTGTTTAAAGAATGGTTATATACTTACCAATGATATTAAAACCAGTGAACTTAAGGAACAACTTGATTGAGTACCAAGAACACCAAACTGATTACTGCATTGAACTAAATATACTCTAAACGTTATAAAAAGAGTATGGTAATGAATGTTTTATCTGATTGTGCTCAGAAGTGAGTGAGCTGGAGAATATTACATTGGTTATTTGATGAGCGCAAAAGTTTTCCACGTACGTATTCTTGATAAATAGTCAAGAATAATGACTGATCATCTTTATTTAGCTGGTTTTATGAATAATTAACAAGGTGTGCATCACTGTGCAATGCTTATTGAGTGATTTACTTTAAAGCTATAAGGCTAGTTCTAAACTTGTTTGATAGAATAAAAGCTAATAACTTATGGAAATAATAATACTCTTTTTTTCAAAATATTATATTTTAAGGAGCTTGAATCGTTTTCTACTTATCCACTGGAAGTTTTACCGAATGTTTTATATATTGGTACAATTCAACATGCTGGTGATCGTAAACTTCATAGGCAAATGAATATTGTAGCACATATAAATTGTGCATTAGATAATGACGATCCTATGTAAGTTTGTGGATGACGAACTGATTTCATTATTTTTCATTGTTGTTCTAACTTCACAAAATTTGCTATATTAAACCAATCAAAATTGTGTTACATCAAAAAGTTAAGTGTAGGATGATTTTTTCCAGTTCCGGTTTATTAACCAATTGTGATGTTAGTTCAGTTCTTACCTTTCTTGTTTTGATACGTTTGTGGTTTTTTGATACAACAAGCCTTAGTGTTTCTATATCTGTTACAAATAAAGCATTTGATCAAAGCTTCAGCAAATTTTATTCAGTAAAATATGCATTAAGTGTGGTGATTTAACGAACTTTTTTGTATACTCCCTAATGAGGACACTTACTACAGATTTCTTGTCGTTTCAGTAAAAAGCTGTAATCTGTAAAGGTAATCTAGTCAACGTTGTGGAATGTATGTCAGGTTCTATCTCCAATATGTTTCCCATATGTTTGTCAGTCAACCTTAATTCATATTGGAAATTCTAAGAGACATATTAAAATAATTGTTGGTAAAACTTTTCATAAACCAAATTTGTTATTTATATTGAATAATAATTCGTGAAAAAGTTTCACAAACTGCATTAATGTCTTGACAGTTAAGAAAATAGATTAAACTAACAAAATGTACCCACCGGACTTGTTTGGAATTTCACTTGACTATTCTTCTAACTAGATTTTATCGTCAAAACGTAACTGGTAGTACTTACATACTACTAAGTAGTTGGGAATCTTCATCGACTGAGATGGTTGGGTCACGTGTTACGTATGCCCGAAGACCGATTACCACGACGTGCAATGCTAACCGGTGTTGGAGATGGTTGGAAAAAAGTTGGGGGCGGTTAAACCAAAACGTGGCATCAGTGCTTGAAGTCACTAACTTATAGTCTGAGCCATGTTGGTAGATGCAGACTACTTGGTTGGAGTCCGCGTGACTATCGTAACCAATGGTTGGAGACTCTTGGTGACATGGCTCAGAATCGATCACAATCGCGTAGGTGTATACACTCTTTGTCTTCCCTTAAACTAAGAGATTAAAATCACTTCATATCTTTCTTTCTACGTACTAATTCTTTCTTCCTGTATTATATCCTTATACGCAATCTTTCTTTTATATATTACCACCTCTGAATTAACTACTTTTATGAATCCGGTGTCCATCTTGTTGTGTTAATGAGGTATGGCAACTTGGACCGATGCATATATGTGTCTGGTCCTGCATTGTGACTGACTGACTAGTGCTTTGATCGTATTATAAAATCATGACTACTTATATAGTTTGCTCGAGAACCATATATGCCACTGTGACAATATTTCATGTTTTAAATGGCTTATTGGTCTAAACGTTAGTCATCAACTAGTTGATCTTCTTAGTGTTTAATCAGTTGGTGTTATAATGCTACAGGTTGTATGCCATCAGAATTCTTCAATATTCAGTCGTTATTTGAACTTATCATTTTTAAATTAAATCAGTCAGTCAGTAATAACGTAGAACTTTGTACGTACATACATCAGTTCGAGTTGCCATACCACGTTATCACAGAGATGCAGTTGTCGATTCAAATCCCGTAGTGGTAGAGGTAGTAAGAGTATAAGCAGTAATCGGAAACATTAGGGCTTGAAGATGTTATTCAAGGAGTATAATCGAACGAAATAAATTTGGAAAGATAAAAAAAGAAAGGGACATGAATAATTCAGAAGGTTAGAATTTGAGAGAACACAAAAAGTGGATGCACCTGCGCCATTGCAAATGATTTTGAGCCATATCATTCAAGGCCTCTAACCATCGGTTTCTATCGTTTCGCGGATCCCAATCAGGTAGAAATTCATCAGCAACTTATTTCGATGTGTTATTATGTAAATGTTATTAAACACTGACTGGATCGCGTGAATATAATGAGTTTTTCTTCAATTCTCATTAGATACCAGAATTGTAAAGACTCTATGTTGAATATTCAACCAACTGAAAATTGTGAACTGTTATCATTTTTGGACAACGCTTGTGATTTTATTCGTAAGTCTATCTTTCCAATGGTTATTATTATTATTACTTTGCTATTCAAAGATAATTATGCGTGAGAACATATAAAAAAAGTGTTCCTACAATAGATCATGATTAGCTTAAACCAAATTCATATGAAAGTTGATAAATAGAACAACAGTCTATTCTTAAACAGTTGAGCTGTCTAAATGAAATATATGTTAATCAATAAGAGTACAGCTAGTTTGACAACAGTTAATTTAACCAAAGAAATGCAAGGGAAACGAGTAAATACTAGTTAAACATAAGTAATATTGTTATATTACAAGGATTCCCAACTCTGACCATTTTTTAAACTGATCACCTTCTCAGGGACTAAGTACAATTTTTTATTTTAAAAAATTATACTATATAGCTTGAATCTTTGTATCTAGGGGAGGTAACTATCTATAGCACTTACCTTGTTGCTAATAATAACCGATATCTTGAACTATGATCAGATATGCACATTAACTGATACGTATTCTTAGTGATATTGTATTTACACGATTAGTCAGATGATAGGATAGAGGGCTATATAACTATTAAAACTTCCCATCATACTAGAACACAGATATACGAAAGAAGAATGTTCGTTTTGAGAAATTTTCTTCTGATTCTGAAGTCATACATTCAGGCTAATGATCCAAGGAAGTGATCAAGATTAAAACGAATGTGTTTCGAAATTGTAACGTATGAATTCAAGATTGTTCATAGAATAAGATAGTCAATATTGAGATGATTAATAAGCCGTGTTAACTTGAATAAGTTTATATGTTAGTTAATAATGAGAAAAAAATATAGGCAGTGTAGAATGAGAGAAACAGTAATGTAGTTTCAGATCATAAATGGAAGGTTACACAACTTGTTAAGTGTTTGGAATCAAGTATTCTATAGTACAAAGGAATGAAGGCTATCTAGATTGTACATGTAGTTGAAAGATTATGGATAATGATAGTAATAATTATACAATAATACTTGAATAAGAAGAATTAAAGTTATAAAACTAAAAATCAGAGAGCTGTGTGAATATCAGCCAAACTATATCAGTTTATAATAAAGAAGTACTATCGCCTTATTGGGTCTTAGGCTGGCCAATGTAAGAATAAAGGTTGAACAGATTTCTTCTCATGCATACCTCAAATTATTTAGTCTGAATACCTATCTCTTCCGTCGTTTGAAGGACTTTGATACTGACAGATTTTGGCAGAAAATTACTGCCCTGATCAAACCATTAGCTTGACTACTCTGGAGGGTGTTCACGAGTTCAAAAATGTAAATTCCTAGTATACCGACCAATGGGATTGGCTTCACACGATCAATCAAAGTGATCAATACAAAAGAAGATGGCTAATCTAGATAATTAGTATTTTAGTCTTGATATCACTATCAAAATCATGTTATAGTTTTCCTGCATTGGAAACTCTCTGTAATCTTGTGTATAATCTCCGGATCAATATTTCACTTGTTGCATAACTTTTAAACTGTTGGTAATCATCCATTAGTTTTAAAGGTTTTGTTTTAGCAATTATTCGGCGAGACTATAATTTATAGATGAACCAATCAGGTATAAGATGATGGGACTCGAATTTTGGAACGAAATCCACTTATCCATTTGGCTAAATAGAGTCTTGACATTATAGCTGATGTTAGTTTGTGATGAAAACTCTAAATCTTATTCCTATTCTAAATTACCAACTGTAAATCATAATCTTTATCCTTTATACAGGTTTATAACCTTTATTTAACCCTAGTCATTAGGTGGATATTCTCAATATAACTTTAGCGTTACTCAGAGATCATCCATAAATTATAGATCTCGCCACTTTTATTTAAATCTTATCTAAATTTTGATTGAGATCGTCAACCGATTGACGTTAGACCACCATGAAAAACTTGTAAGCACTGGATGGCCGTTTCGTCCTACCGCGGGATTCCTCAGCAGTGCGCATTCATGATCCCGCTCGCGGGCTTCGGACCCAGGGCCTTCAGTCTCGCGTGCGAACGCTTAACCTACTGGACCACTGAGCCGGCATCCAATGGTGTTAATGTCTAACCTCAACCAATCCTACAATAGGACAAAACAGTCGTCCAATGCTTCCAGGTTTTCAATGGTGGTCTAACATCAATCGGTTCATGATCTCAATCAAAAAATTTAACAATCTCCACAACCCCTAAACTGATACTTATCTAAATTATTCCTTCTTTCTTTGTTGAAAAACAAAGATTTAAAAATGTTTATTTTTTATTTTAGAAGAAAAACGATTAAGAGGACAACGTGTTTTAATTATTTCAAAATGGATGTTTAATCAGTCTGTAGTGATTGCAATTGCTTATCTTATTAAATATGAATTAATGAGTTTAAAAGTAAGTTGAAATCGAATTCAACTATTAAATTACTTTATTTTGTTCTGTCAGTGAATAGCGCCATCGCGTTATTCACTTACCTGCTCAATCCTGACAGCCACCTGCTTGTGCATTAGGGTGAACTTTAAATTCACTTGGTGTTGTTTTACTTGTATCTTCCCATCGTTCTTTAGGACTGCAATTGATCCGTTTCATGTTGATATATATATGCATCCTGTGCGGATTGCTTCGATATAGCTTTAAGTCACAAGCTTTTTTAAGCAAAAATGAATAGCAGTAAAATCCAGTTTGGCGCGCGTTTCATCCTATTTCGGACTGGTTAGCTAGATATATCTGCATCACAGAATTAATGTTCACTCTGGGATTTGAACGTAGGGCTCAGTATCTATGTGGATAACGCGATGGTGTTTAGAGAGGGCGATACTGAGTTTGAATCACAGAGTGAACATCAACTCTATGATGCAGGTACATCCGGTTGACCAGTCCTAAATAGGACGAAACGCATGTCAAACTGGATTCCACTGGTAGCCACTATCCATCTTTGCTTAAAATGTTATACTACGTTGTAAAGAATTTTTAAGAATGTTAGTAGTTCACCATAATTGTAGTGTGTGCTACTGATGTGGACAGACATGAGTAGTATGTATTATCAATCGAAATTGAAAAACGTGGTGGTAGAAGGTTAAGAAGATGGAAGGGAAGAGAACAAGAACAGAGAATGATGGATGTGGAAACGAAAGAACAATCAAGTCTAAGACAATTGATTGACATTTTGCAAATGAAGTATTTATTGTATGGTTTTCAGATTTTACTAAGAGATTCTGTAATTTTGTGTCCAAATACATTTGCTTGTTCTTCCTTTGTATTCTCGTGCACTACAATGAGCGATATAGAACGTGACGGATATGTATATTAGTTTAAGTTGCTTTACAGCATCAAAACAGGGAGATTTAGTTGTTAAGATAAATGAAAGTATTAATAGTATCGATGGTAGCAAAAATTATTAGGCATAGGTGATTGATAGAAAATCCTGGTGGGCGGCCTATGCTCCTCTACAAGGTGTAACAGACGTAAGTAATTAAGTATTTGGCTATTGAAACTTTGAAAAAGAAAATATTAGATCATTTTGAAACTCAAGCTATAAGATAAGGAAATGAATGAGTATCTCTAATCCACTGAAACTGACTATTGAGCCATGTCACCTAAAGTCTCAAATCACTGATTATGATGGGCTCACAGACACCAACCAGGTACACTGCATCTACCAAAATTGTTTTGTTTAATTACCAATGACTTTGTCGACTGATGCCACGTTTTCGATTATCGATTACTAACTTTCTTTCAACCTACCCCTATATCGGCAGACATCACATCAAGGTTAGGGGTGGTTAGTCATAGGTTATATATAACTCAACTAGCTCAGTCGATACAGATTTTCTACCTTATCAACCAATTTATCATCCTCACCTAGTTCTTAGAGTCTAGCCTAAGCACTGTTCATTTAACTGCCTCAACGTATGTAAGCAATCCTTTGAAGATAACTATGATCACATACCAATAAAGGATACATTTCATAGTTATAGTATAGAACATGATGAATTACTTTCTAAGATACTAGTCTTTCCAGTTACCAAACGGAGATCTTACCTACCCCAAAACCAAGCTAGTCTTTTGAGTCCATGTAGGAAAGAATATTGTCAAGTTTGATGATGAATATCTTTTTAAATAGACATTTCGATTTTTTAAATCACTAATCAGTGTTATTTTATCAAATTCAAACAAGCTCATTTATTTATTAGTCTTACCTTATTCATCCTTTGACAGTTTATAATGCAAATACATTTAGAATTTACATACATATTTCAATAGTTGAGATCATGTGTGAACTGAAGCTAAACCACCATAGAAAACCTGGAAGCACTGGACAGCCGTTTCGTCCTGTTGTGGGACTCCTCGGCAGTGCGCACCCACGATTCTGCCTAACGAGATTCAAACCCAGGATCGATCACTCTCGCAGTGTAAATCTCATTGAAATGTGAGCATATGCGAGTAAATGTTTCAGCTTAACATTGAACTAAATAATTGAATAGTAGGCATCACACTACAAATAAAATATGTAGTGACAAACTATTAAATCGATACGATTTCCATGAGATCAACCAGTGAATAGACAAATCTACTGATAGTAAGTTGTAGTTGAGACCATGAACTGATGAATGTTAAACTACCGTTGAAAAACTAGGGGCACTGGATGGTTTTTCGTCTTAGTTCAGGGCTCTTCAGCAATGCGAATCCACGACTATTCACTCAGGATCCGAACCCATGACCTTTAGTCCTGCGCACGAACCCCTAACCTCTCGGTCACTGGGTCGGCGTCCAGCGGTGTTAATGTCTAATTTCAATCAATCATCTTCCAGTGTCTTCAGTGGGCGACTGCCTCGCACCCGACATGGTTGGATGCTGGCTCAGCGATCTAAAACTTAGGCGTTCACGCACAAGACCAAAGGTCCTGAATTCGAATCGTGCATGAAGAATCATGTATTCACATTGCTGAGGAGTCCAATACTAGGACAAAATGACCGTCCAATGCTACCAGGTTTTCAATGGTGGTATATCATTCCAGTTTTATTTTGTCGTATTGTTTCTTTCTTTCTCACTTAGTTGATCATATTGTATACAATTATTGAATTCTAATAATTTTTTTGTAGGATGCATGGATGTATTTACGAAAGATCTGTATACCGATGCAACCAAGTTGGAATTTTATGATACAATTAGCTGAATTTGAATATAACTTACAGCGTACTGATAAATTGATTCCATTGACAGAAGATGAATACTATGAAAGATGAAGTGATAAAGTATGAATAGATAATACAATAGAACTTTAAAAAGGACATTGAATTGACTTTTTTTTCTTCTTTTCCGTTAGGTATTTTTTAAATGACTTACTTACTTACATACGCCTGTTACTCCTCGTGAAGGAGCATAGGCCGCTCACCAACATTCTCCATCTAACCCTGTCATGGGCAATTCTTTCTAGCTCTTTCCAGTTGTTATTCACCCTTTCTATATCTGATTCTATTTCCCGACGTAATGTGTTCTTTGACATTCATCTTTTCCGCTTCCCTTTAGGATTCCAAGTCAGGGCTTGCCTCGTGATGTAGTTTGATGATTTGTGTAATGTATGTTCTATCTATTTTCATCGTCTTTTCCTAATTTCCTCTTCAGCTGAAAGTTGTTCTCTCCCACAGAAGGCTGTTGGTGAAGGTATCCGGCCAAAGGATGTTGAGCATTCTGCGTAGAGAGCTATTTATAAATACTTGTACCTTCTTGATGGTGGTTGTTGTAGTTCTCCAAATTTCAGCTCCGTATAGTAGAACTGCCTTGACGTTCGTATTGAAGATTGTCACTTTGATATTGGTTGAAAGTTGTTTTGAGTTCCATATGTTCTTCAATTGTAGGAATGCGACCCTTGATTTGCCAATCCTCGCCTTTACGTCTGCATCTGAACCTCCTTGTTCATCGATGATATTTCCCAGGTATGTGAAAGATTCTACATCTCCCAGGGTTTCGCCATCAAATTTTTAAAATGAGAAGTAACTATTTGCCAACTATTATTTGTTTGGATTTTGAATTGTGATAACACATTGAAATAAGAAGTTACTTATATCCTCATAACTATATTTTATCACGAACTCATGAACTACTGACTTATAAAGAGTTGTTTTGACAGATTAATAGTAGTTGAATTAAAGGCTTCCATGAATTAGATGATATGATATTGTGGTAAGATTTAATAGAATCATCTATAGAGAATAGATTAGGCGCTGTTTCTAGATCAAGTATCCAATCCAAGTAGTAGTTCATACAAAGGATGTAACAGCTTCATACGTCTTGATAATAATGAATACTTATTTAGATTACCAATTAAGTGATGAATTAACTTGATAATTTGATACAAACACTTTCGGGATCATTGAATGAATCTTTGGAATCTTATCGTTTATATCGTATGTATTCATGCATAATTAGCCTTGACTTTACGTATGACTAAAGATAATTCTGGATATATCTGCTTATTGTTTATTTGATTCTTTGCTTATTTGACTTATATATAAACTGAAGCGTCAATCCACTTGTCGATTGATTTCGTAGTCCATCCAGATAACGCGTTGTACTGTTTTGTCTTCCTTTATGGTTTGTCTGCTTATAAAAATACCTAAAGTATACACATGCACAACACATTTCACATTAAACTCCGTATATCACACTGTTATCTTAGTGATTACATACAGAGTTGAGTTGGATTTATATTTCAGTGGAGACAAATGTGCCACCATATGAATGAGTAAATCAAAAGATATGCAAATGAAACTCTATAACAAGGTGAAGAAAGTAATGAAGCATTGAGAATGAAACAAAAACGAATAACACAGGTAGGACGTTGTTAAAAAGCATGAGACATTTAAACATCTGAAGTTGAGTCAAACTAGAGAGTTTTAATAATTAAAGTAGTACTTGAAACAGACAAAGTCAACATACGGGAAGCGAATCTGGGAGATAAAAATGAGTTTAATCTCAATTTAGTTGAAACTTATCGCTAGTCTTATTCCAAGAAGTTCGTTCTCTTGATCTTTCATTACTGTAGATTAGAAGCATGCTCATGGGTTAGAATTTCGTTTATTTATTTTGTCTACTTATAAGTAGTAAGATTGTGTAGAAAATAATTTTGTTCGATGTGCTTTTTGTCAGCAATATAAACTGTTCATACTTTAGTGCAAATCACTCGATTAATTCAAAGTCTGTAGGATAATTCATCACAGTGTATATGGTATTGAAATACAATCTTTTAACCTGTTTTGTAATTCAATATAAATCAGTATGGGGTTGTGGAGATTATTAAGTTTTTGATTGAGATCATGAACCGATTGCTGTTAGACCATCATTGAAAACCTAGGAGCACTGAACGGCCGTTTTGTTCTACTGTGGAACTTCTCAGCGGTGCGCATCCACGGCCCCGCTCGTGAGACCTCGAATCAAAGGTTTTCAGTCTCGCTCACACACGCTTAACCTCTAGACCACTGAGCCGGTCTCAAACATTGTTAATGTTTAATCATCTTCGATTGTACTGAGGCAGATACTTGTCTCTACCCGACACAGATTAGTTCCATTGGTCACAGCTTCCATAAACCTCATATCGGTAATTACCATGAGCTCACTAGTGACTAGCTTTGTGAGGGAATTTTCGAAGTTCTAATGAGAAACCGTGACCAGTTGAACTAACCCGAGTCGGGTAGAGACAGGTATCTACCTCAGTACAATGGAAGATGGTTGCGCAATTTCGTGAATGAAAATAAAATTCATCATGATTTATTGCTAAGAACAACTTTTTCATTATTTTTTTTAATCAACATATACGATATAATGAGATTTCACCAAGAATTCAAACTCATAATATAAATTTAGATCAATGTAACCAGAAAGGACATATTTTCTAGTTTCATCTTCTTGTCATGTTTACAAATATCAGTTAAGTTGTAATGTGGCCACAAGTCTAAATAGGGCGATATCTCTATGGACGTTTTTAGGGATAATCGATGTCCATACATCACATTCATTTATCTGAATGATAACATCTCTGACTTGAAGACTATATGGGACAGGTGTTTAATATCAGTTCCTTTAGGACTGAAGATACATCTTGGTGATAAATATCAATTTGAATGAAACCTAACCCTATCGCTTTTTATCTACTACTATCACCAACTCCTCAAAAAATGAATAATCTGACATAATTCAACATAAATTTTATAGAGTATGTAGTTGAATAATGGGGATATTAGAATATATAACACTTGGATATAAATCGGTTAAGTTATTGTGACTCCCCTCTGATTATTATCAAAATGATTTTTCCTAGAGTTCTAGGGAGAATCAGTGACCAGCGGAGTTCAACCGGGTCTGTTGTCAGATAGTAATTCACTGATGATTATGGTGGATGTGCAGCTCAACTTCGTGGATTAGTTGAATTTAGACATTAACACTATTGGATGCCGGCCAACTCAATGGTCTAGAGGTTAAGCGTCCGCATGCGAAACCGATAAGTCCAGGGTTTGAATCTTGTGAGGTGAGATCGTGGATGCACACTGCTGAAGAGTCCCACAATAGGACGAAACAGCCATCCAGTGCTTCCAGGTTTTCCCTTGGTGGTCTAGCTTCAATTGACTCATGAATTCAACTGCTGACTGACTATAATATCCATAAAATCCCTCTCGGATTTATAATTATTAAAATCACTATGCTCAATTTTAAATGTCATTTTGACCAACCTAATCTACAATATGAATTAATCTATCTCACAAGAACGAAATTATTAATAGCCTATTCTATTAAATCATTACTGTATCCATAGTACGTATACTTTCAACTATGGTGAAGCTTTCAAAATATGTTGTCATACTGTATATATATGGATAAATGTAATTATACTCAATTTCCAATAACTAGATTAGTTTGACTAGGTAAGTTATATGGTAACAATGGATAGGATTATACACTGTAATGTATACACCCTTAACATATATATATATATATATATATATATATATATATATATATATATATATATATATATATATACATATAAGCATACATAAATGATAAACAAATCAATATACCGAATGAAACGTTTGTCAGTCGACAAGTGAATATGAGGAAAATGACAAAGTATCTATTCTATTGGGTTAGTAGAATATTGATTATTGATTTTATGTTTGTTTGAGTCTCATTTCTTGTGATTGTTTTAAACTAATTCATTGAAATTTACTTACTTACGCCTGTTATACCCAATGGGGCATAGGCTGCCGACCAACATTCTTCAACTCACTCTGTCCTGGGCCTTCCTTTCCAGTTCTATCCAATTTTTGTTCATTCTTCTCATGTCTGTCTCCGTTGCTCGATGTAATGTGTTCTTTGGTCTTCCTCTTGTCCTTTGATCTCCAGGATTCCATGTGAGGGCTTGTCTTGTGACACACTTGGGTGCTTTCTTCAATGTGTGTCCTATCCACTTCCAGAGCTTCCTCCTGGTTTCTTCCTCCACTGGAATCTGGTTTGTTCTCTTTCACAGTAGGATGTTGATGATAGTGTCTGGTCAACGAATCCGAAGTATTTTGTGTAGATAACTGTTAATAAATACTTGTATCTTCTGGATGATGACTTTCATAGTTCTCCAGGTTCTCGCCAATTCATTAAAACAATTGAGATCAAAAGGACAGGACAAGTTATCTTTCCTATTATTCCAATGGAGGTAATTACAGATATAATAATAATAATAATCACATGAGAAGTATTAATTTACTTGGTATTACTTTACTTGAATCTTCCCATCGATGATTAGGACTGCGATTGATCAGTCTCTTATTGATATATGTACATCCTGTACGGATTGCCTTGATGTTGTATTAGTTTACAATCATTCTAAGCAAAGATGGATAGAGGCTACCAGTGGAATCCAGTTTGATGCACAATTCGTCCTATTTGGGACTGGTCAACTGGATGTACCTACATCACAGATTTGATGTTCACTCTGTGATGCAAACTCAGTACCGTCCCCTTCAAACGCCATCGCATTATCCACATATATACTGGGCCCTACGTTCGAATCCCAGAGTGAACATCAATTCTGTTATTCAGATATATCCAGCTAACCAGTCCGAAATAGGACGAAACGTGCATCAAACTGGATTCCATCGCTTGTCACTATTCACATAGGAGCATGTTTATTAGCGAAGTAAACAGTTAGTCAGTCAGTCAGCTACAACGTAGGACCAGGCACATATATTCAACGGTCCAAGTTGCCATACCTCATTA